TGAGTGCACTACACAAGTTGCGGTCGGGTTGGCTTATTTACCGACGTGCGACCAGTTTTTTTTTGTCGTTTTTCTTGGGCTAGGTGAAAAAAAAAAAAAAAAAAAAAAATCGTCAGACTTTCACCTACTCATCAGGAGGTTGACCCCACAGAGTCTGCCCAGGATGCATTTGACTGGTGGATAAGCACTCACTGCGTTGCCTCACACTGTCACTCTCACGGTAGGCTATGGTGCGCACTATAATGGCTATCCTCGCTCTCACTCTCACTTTCACTCTCACTCTGCCTACCTTCTTCCAGTGATAGTAGCCGCACCCAACATCAAAGCAGCGCAAGGGAGAGCGAACACAGAACTCGAGGCAGACGCAGGAGTTAGTGATACACCTCTCTCTCTGTGTGTGTGTGTGTGTGTGTGTGTGTGTGTGTGTGTGTGTGTGTGGAGCTGAATGCAAGGTACTGTTGTGTATGATTCTGCTGACTGTGGCTGGCTGTCGTTGGATGCATTGACTCAGGCAATCGAAGTGCAAAGGCGGCCCTTGCATTGCAGGAGTCTGAGGGATTGACTAATGCGATCAGTGTAGCTGGTGGAACCAGTGGATGGATTCAGGAAGGCTTTCCAGTCAAGCAACGTATGTGCTATTCCCCTCTCTGGGTGGGTGGGTGGGTGGATGGGTGGGTGGGTTGATTGGTTGGTTGGTTGGTTGGTTGGTTGGGTGGTTGGGTGGTTGGTTGGTTGGTTGGTTGGGTTCTGCACTCATTCCCTGTTTGATCATAGTCGCTCCATTTTTGTTATACAAAGAGAGGGGTTAGCGCAGCTGCGCAACCGTTAGCCCCTAATTTTCAAGTGAGGATTTGAACTCGCGATCTGTTCCTAGAGTGTGTGCATACCTCTGTAAGTAATTTAGTACAGCATGGGTGATTCGGGCGCTAAAGGGCCTTTGTATTTGACTGGCCGCCGACCCAAAACGAGAAGATAGCCATGCTTGACAATTATTTTTTACTTTTTTTAGCCATCTATGATCTTTCTTATGAATGCCACTACCTTATTACTTACCTATGGACTCTATGGAGTGATTTTGAGCACTTCAAAAAGATATGATTTTATAGCTCTTCAAAAAGATATGATTATGGTTCCATATCTGTGTACCATTCAGTCAAACAGGGGCCAGGTAAATTTCCGTCGCTAGTTTTCTGAACTTGGAATTTTTTGTTTGGCAAAAAGAGTGAGGATGGGCCTCGCTTCACGACACCACACCACTCTAAATGTATTTGGACGTGCAACTGATCCGTATACGTTGTGAATCTTGGATAAGTCCAAATGTCGCTGGTCTGTATTTCAGGCCAGATACATGTGGAATATTAATGTAGTGAAGCGAGGGCCGATGATGTTTTCTCTGTTTTTGGAATTTGTGTTTCTGAACTGTTGAGCAGAACCAATTTGCATTTTTGTAACCTCAAGGCAGACTTAGAAATGATGATGATGAACCTGACGTTCTTTTTCTGACTAGATTCGTCCCTCGCTCTGCAGCTCCAAAGGATATCACTGTCCAGCAGCTGAAGGACTCACTGGCAAGCCCCAATCCACCATTCGTACTCGATGTCAGATCTCCCGAGGAGTATAAGGAGGGGTAATCATTCTAACTAACCATTCATCTGTCTCCCCCTTCCTCCCCCCCCTTTGGTTTCATCTACTCTCTCTCTCTCTCTCTCTCTCTCTCTCTCTCTCTCTCTCTCTCTCTCTCTCTCTCTCTCTCTCTCTCTCTCTCT